TTGCAAGATACTTATACTCATGTTAGACCGAAGGGGAAGAGAATGTCSAAGTCAGGAAATCAATATTATGACTTTGACGTTGCGGATCTAGATTAAATTTATATTATATATGAGGTGTTCTATGTGCAATAAGATTTTAGAGCGACCTTGGATAATAGAGAAACTTAATTGTCATGGTAATGACGTTTTCTACCATTATTGCCTAGAGTGTTCCAAGAAGATATTTGATGATGAAATAGGTATTGTCGAAGAAGATGTTAATTAATCATTATGTCTTAAATTACAAGATCTACATGCTATTACACAATTGGATTTAATATGGCCTATTCTATTATCTAAACGTTCTATCGTCGCTAAATCATCAGTATACTTAGTATACTGAATATTTTTTTGGCAGTAGTAACACTTATTTTCAGAATCCTCTATTAATCCTCTAAGAAAGCATTTATCTATAAACCTATCGGGATCGTAACGATTATATTTCTTATCCGCCATTCTAGAATTACCTATCCATCTTGTGATAGTAACCTCGATAGGGTTGGTACAAAGCTTGCATTCACGTTTTCCAATTTTATGCTCGCATATTCCAATTCCACCACATTCAACACACGTAGTTCTTATTCGATCATGAACGCATAATAGATARCCTTTACACCCCTTACATGTTCTTTTCTGACGTCCATGCTCACAGAAAATACCACCACCGCAGGGGCGGCAGAAGTATCTTTGAATCCCGTGAGGACATTTATTTAGATTTCTATATTTAGTTGCACTAGCCAGGCAAGTAGAACATGTTTTCAAAACTCTACCTTTTTTAAGAAAATCTTCTTTACTACGATAACAACGACATCTAGGACATTTAATGTTTTTATCACTCATTGATATACCAATGAAGATCAAACGCACAATACGAAAAAATTTGGGGTTATTAAACCCTGCTTGTTTTTTATCAAAAATTTACAAAAATTTACTAGCTCCATAAGCAACCAGCCACATATGCCATCTCATTGATGCTAATACTTACAGTAGCAGCTGTGATGGCGATGTTGGTTAGAAGGAGGATAATCTTAAACACAGCCTCTTCTAATCTTGCGATCTTTTGGGCATAAATATTTACAAGCTTTTTTGCCTTTTCAAGAATCTTTTTAGACTCTTCTTCTTCAGCATCTTTTAAGAACATAACTATGTAGCCCACATTATCTTTTAAACATTCTAATAAATCGATATTATCCTCCCCCTCACTACGATTCTCAATCTCGATTTCCAAAAGCTCTTCAATGAACTCCTTTATAGCTTTTTTAGATTGATCACACATCATTTCCATTCTATATATCTAAAGAACTATCAAAAACTAATCACATCTTTTTAAAGAGACCTAAAAAATGGGGTTATTAAACCCCACATGTTTTTTTATCAAAAATTTATAAAAATTTACTAGCTCCATAAGCAACCARCCCCATYCCRMCAGCCACATAAGCAATTTCATATCTCTTCTGACTGGCCGACGGCGTATAATGAAATTCCGGTTCTTTTAAATCGAAATCCGGATGCGCTCGTTTATAGAGAGAAAGAGCTTGATCTGTTGAATTCAAATTCTCATCAGCCTGTTTCTTATTCAAATACTCTGATTCTAACCAATCTTGGTATTCCTGTCGTCTTTTTCTCCATTGACCCATTTCTTTTTCGTATTCTTCCATGGCCTTATCATGCCTTATTCTTTCTTGATCAGCATGCTGCTTGTCGAAGTATTTGGCTATGTACATTGAACCTGTAAATGCCGTTGCATTCAAAATCGCGCCGCCTATCATTATCGCTATCGATGCCATTTATATAGTAGGTAAAATCTTTCGATCCTCTAAATATTGCTTCGCGTATAGACTTCCTGAAAGCACCAGAACCCATTTACCATAATTCGCTACAGAACTGCTCGGATCACTTATGAAATTTTCTTTTAGCATCTTTTTACCCAGGTAACCAACTCCACTCGCAATTCCTACTACCACCGCCGCGTCTGTTAAAGATTTCACTAGTTTGTTTTCACTCATTATATCTAAGAAATATTAACTTCCACATGAATTCTCTCACGAGCCTCATCTGGTTCTGTATCATCATCATCTGTATCATAATCTGGATCACTACCTAATATCCAATTAACCCCGTAACTAATTACGAAACCAAGTCCTGCTCCCAACGCCACGTCTATTAAATATTTCACTAGTTTGTTTTCACTCATGCTATATAATATAATTTATAGAATTTCTATTTCCAAATGAATTTTCTCAGGAGCCACCTGTAATAACTTTGTGCCGTTTGTGATGCGAAAGAATATAGAATAAACACGATTAGTTCCGTTGGTTCTAATTTTATATTTGCTGCCAGGTATGCTCATTTGATTAACTCTCTTCTTATGAATTATTCCCAAAAGCTGCGTTCTTTTTGAATTTAAACGAACATCTTCACTAGCTATTAAATCACAATAGATGTAAATTGCTTCTGGAGGAGATGTCTCGCCTGGAATTCCAATGCGGGCGCTATTCAAAGAAATAGTTTCTGGATTATGCGCAGGCGGATCTAAATATATTGTAAATTCCGGCTTAGTTTCTTCAATGTATAGTATCATCTTATTCCATACCGATTTTTCTTTTAGGTTTCTTTTTAGGCTCTTCTACCTCTATTTCCTCTATTTCCTCAGGCTTTTCTTCTGGCTTAGATTTCCATAAATTCGATATAGAAGTGCTCGGGCCGCTTTTAGATGATTTCCACCGATAGTATAAATCAACAGCCGCTATTGTSGTGCCYACAATAGATATAGCCGTTGTGAGAGATATTTCAGGTATCCAAGACTTTTGTGTTGTTTCCTTCTGCAATGCATTCTTTGCCTTCTTATGATACTCAGCTAATCTCTTACCAGCAGCTACCTTCTTCGGATCTTTTATCTTCTTAATAACTTCTGGTTCTTTTGTAATTTGCTCAACTTGCTCACTCATTATATAATATATAAAATATGCTTAAGACTGCTCAGGAGARAACTTWATATGCTTAGCAAYCYGCATAAGACAAGAACCAAGAGCCACAAARCGRCCGCCMTKYAAWACARCATATCCAGCTGCGTTATTGAGCTCCTGCTTAAGAAGSTCATYYTTCTTCAARTCCTCACAYAATTCTTTCTTATCATCTATTGGAGCTACCATATTGATTACCTCAGAAGCCCCTTCGATTACCATATCAACAAGACTTCCAGTCACTTGATTACC